CTCCCAGATCATGAGCCCATCTACACTCCGTCACCAGGAGGGAGGCCTCCTGGGTCCTGGGGCATCACTAATGTTGTTCAAGTTATTTCTATTCTCTGGCACATGGAAAGAGCGCCCCCTCACTGCCCTCTTTGAAGCTAGCAGGGTTGTGTGACAGACTCTTGCTAAGGACATGTGAGCAGAAATGACAAGCAAGCTGAGTGTAAAATATTTAACATCAATGAAGCTGGCAGTGTCTCCTTGCTGCTCAGCAACTGTGAAGTGTGATGAAATAAACCCTCCTACGGCTTAGGTCCTTGATACCCACACTTAGAGCACACCTGCTGTCCCTCAAAGATGGGCAGTATACATGAGAAATAAACCTTCAAGGGTGGTGAGCCTAAGGAGATGTCCCAGTAGGTAAGAGACCTTGCTACTCAAGCATGAGGCTCTGGGTTCAAATCCCTGGCACCCGTATAACCCCAGCCCTGTGGAAGACAGAGACACAAGATCACTGAGACTTACTTGCTGGTTACCAGTCAGTACCCAGGAAATGAGACAAAGTTATATAACAGGACAATTTATGTCCTCCACATATGCATGGGTGCATGCTCCTGACCCATGCACACACACAACACACACACACACACACACACACATGCACACACTCACAAAAGAAATGAGCCTCTATCCTTAGATCATCTACTGTTGAGGAATTTTTGTTTCTGCAGCAAACTCCTGCCCAGCCTCTCTCACATGCCTTCCACACAGTCTGTGATGATTGCACTCACTTGCTCTGATTCTGAGGTCACTGAGGTCAGATGAGCTTCCTTAGAAATGCAAAACTGTTCTGCGCTGTACCAGGACTTTGGGGTGTGTGAAAAGTAATAGAAGTTCCCCCCGAAGTACTTCCAGCCTCGAGACATCATCTCCAGAATGTCACCTGGAAAGCAAAGGCTGAGGTAACAGCAGTGCTCCACATTCTTCTGCATCCTGACTGGCATGGGGTGTTTGATGGAATCCTGGGGACAGCAGTGAATGGATCCAAGGGTCCTTAGGTTCCCAGTGTCAGAGACTGGGGACACTCTATTGGAACTCTAAAGGTCTGAGACTTGTGATAGACCCTCTGAGGGTAGAAAAGGCACAGGGGCAGGGAGGGGAGAACATGAGAAGAACACAAAGGCCATTACCCCTGGGCCCTGCCTCACAGTAAGGGACTTCATGGGAAGAGGCAAGATACAGGCCGTGTGTACATATTATATTAGTGAAATGTCGTTATGTGGGGTAATGGGAAGCTGGCTCTGGAGGGGTTTGCCTACCCCTCCCAATTTCAGACCCAAGCATGTTTGTCTCAAAGCCCCCTCTAAGGAGAGCAAGCTCAACTTAGAACTCCAGCTGTCTGCTTCAACTTCCCCAGTCAGTTTTTGCTGGATGTTCGCAGCTCCCCACTTGATGATGTCACCTTCCAGCTGTTATTTGTTCTTTTACTTGAAAGCCTTACCCAAGGGGACACTCTGCTCCTCAGGGACTCTCCATCGAGAACTCCAACCGAGGGTCTCAGTCAGGTTTCCCCAGTTGATTTCTGCTGGATGTTTTGAGTGCCCAACTTGATGTTTTCCTATATCAATCTATCACCTATGAATCTGTCTACCTGTCTATCAGTAATCTATCCATCTGTCATTTGTTATTCACTCTTTTATATTTAGTTCACTATATACTTAATAAACTCACTCTCTCAAAAGCTAAAATACGACTTTTTTTAGAGCATAGGGAACACCAGGACAGGCTCCCTAATGCTTCTACACTCTGCACCTTAGTGTGGAGACCCAAGCTAGGCCTGGTGTTTTTTCTCCTACTGACCCAAGTTCTCTCAGATCAATAGTTAAGGCCTACTGTAGTGGTTTGAAAGAAAATGGTGCCTAAAAGGAGTGACACTATTAGGAGGCATGGCCTTGTTGAAGGAAGTGTGTCACTGTGGAGGTGGGCTTTGAGATCCATTTTCTCAAGCTTCTCTCAGTGAGGAAGTCAATCGAATTTCTGTTGCCTGCCTATCAAGATGTAAGGACTCTCAGCTCCAGCACCATGTCTGCCTGCACGCTGCCTTGCTCCTTTTCATGATGATAATGGACTGAACCTCTGAATCTGTAGTCGAGTCACCCTCAATTAAATATTTTCTTTATAATACTTGTCTCTTAACAGCAATAGTAAACCCTAAATAAGACACCTCCCTTGTTAACTTTCCAGCCCACCCCCTTCCCTGTCCTCTGTCTACCCACAAACTAGCTGGCCTGCTCTCCGAGACAGGTAGGGTGTTATGGCCACTGGTCAGCCTGCAGGGTGATCTTCTCTTTACTTACTCTGTCTTTGGAGCACTTTGTTGACATTCTCCAAGCTGCTCTGCAGTCCTCGGACCCTCGCATTCAAGGTGCTGGCTTTATCCAGATCTCTTTGTAGCTCTGGGATTCTGGAACTGACATTATCAACCTCCTCCCATCTTCTTGTTAAGGCACTAATCTGAGCACTGGCTTGTGCCATGCTGATCCTCAAAGACAGAATCTGAGAATGCACACGGATGAGGCTGGTGTTCAGTGTCTGCATCTGAACTTCAGCCTTCTCCACACGGCCTCTGTCCTTCTCAAGAACAGAACCCAGGGTGCTGATATTGTCCACACGACCTCTCAACATCTCAGCATCACTCTTCACTTCCAATATTTTGTTCATCAACCTGGGATCTGGATTTGAAAATGTCACGAGGTCAGTTGAAGGGATCCTAAGAAACAGAGGTAGGGTGTTGGCCCAAGAGAAGGGGGAAATGCAGGATCAAGCTTCCCAAAGGACCGAGACAGTCCACGGGGCTGCCCCCCACTCTCCACTCACTCACTAATATACACATGTGTGCACCATGGGCCACCATCTGTCAGGAACGCTGGTTGGCACAGGCAGGGAGGAGACCAAGAGGCCTCATGAACAAGCAGAGGGAGAGCCCAGCCCTGAAATTCCTTAGTATGGCCAGGGTGAACTTGGTAAAGGGGCACCCTTAGTCACACCCTCATTACTCGTCACTGAGTCCCCTCTGAGACTATGAGTTAGTCCCCAGCCTGTCAAAGACACAGCCACCAGCTAGGGCAGCACACCCCTCCCTCGTCTGCCCACAGACTGCTGTATGACCAAGGGCAGGGCTATCTCTATGCAGACTCCAGAACATGAGAGGGATATTAGGCTATTTCTGCCCTTCCCAGCACATATATTTCATACTCAACTAAGATCATAGGAATGAGAATCAAAACTCACCAATAACCATCAAAAGTGTACTGTGAACGGAAATGACTCAGTAGGAAGAATACTATTCTTGTAGAAATCCTGAGTTAATTTCCCAACAAAATATGGCAGGTCATAACTCTCCATAACCTCAGTTATAGGGAGATCTGATGCCGTCTTCTATCTTTGGGCACTAGGACAGGTTGTATACAAACATGCAAGCAAAACATTCTAGGGATGTAGTATACATACATGCAGGGAAAACATTTGGATACATAAAATAAAATATGAGATTTTCCAAAAAGAGTCCTATGAAAAAGGCAGTCCCAGAAGCCAGAAACAGTCAGGCATGGTTTCACACACCTTTTATCACAACAGAGACAGGTAGATCTCAGTGAGTTTCAGGCAGACCTGACCTAACTGAGTGCCAAGCCAATCAGGGCACATAGT